AATAACACATACTAGTTATGCAAATCAGGAGAGTAAGTCAGAAGAAACAAGGAAAGGGCAATTGAACAGCACCCTGCAATCACGGTAAAGACATTAAGACCTAAAGTGAGATTTGTCAATGGGAAAGTGAGTCAACTTTCAATTTGCAAACCATCTTCATCAGCTGGGTTTCTACAGTGGTTCTGGACCCTCCCTTCCCTCCCACCCACCAGGACTCTAACAGTTTCCGGAACAGTCCTGTCTTGGAAACTAAAGGGAGAGCCCCATAGCTAGCCCCTCTCTCCCCTCTTAATCTCCCCCGAGTCCATGTAGCCACGTCTCACAGCATCTCAAGGTGTGCCCAGACCAGGGTGTCTGAACTTCACCCAGCTTGGCCTTGTCATTCCTAACCAGTCGAGTCAACATATCTCTTGTTTGGGCCAAGCAGGGCTGAGCAGCTGTGAGGCTTTGTCTCTTCAGGAACAGATACGCCCTTACGACTAAGACTTAAAGCTGGAGGTGGGGTGGTGACCTCAGGACAAGGCTCCTGTGCACCAATGCGAGGCGGCTCAGGTTGGCCCAGGGAAATGGGTGCCAGTTTTACAAAGAAAAGTCAAACCCTCAAGCTCATGGTGACAATGATGGAAATTCACTTCTGAGACCAGATCTGCTCAGTCAGGATGAATCACCATCATCTTTTGCCTAACACAGAACTGGACCCAAGTAAAGGCAAGTCGGTTGTGCCTCCACTCTGGTGCTCTGTGCCGGGACAGGGTTCCACTGAGGCCAGGCACAATGTCACCAACATGACCTTCTCTTGCAACTTCAGTTCTCCATCCACTTGCTTTGTGAATATCCACTCTGTCACCTGCATCTCAAAACCTCAAAATCCCAACCAGATGTGAGCCAAGATGCCTTGCTCTCTCCAAGTTCAGTCTTGAGGAGAAGAACCCAGCTGGCGGCCGTCTTCTCCAGAAGCTCTGGCACTGGGGGCCATGTGCAGGGTCAGGAAGGTCGTAGGCTTCCCTTGTTCTCTTTCTTTCCTTTCGGAGTAATCTGGGCTCCCCCGCCCCAAACTGAGTCACCATCCCACCTGTGGGAGGAGGAAGCAGCAGGAACAGGAGGGGCAGCTCCAGTAGTGCCAGAGGGCAGGCCTCGCTTCTCTGGGGCCCTGGGCAAAGCCGGGCTTGACCCCCAATTCCACCCTGGGCATATTGTTGAAAGTGACCTAATGAAATGGAGAAATCATGGAGGCGGTTGGTAAGCTCGTCTGCGGGTTTTGCGGAGAAAGAAGTGGAGACTTGGCAGTGGCGATGCCACCTCCTCACCCTCTGTCCCCGGACTCCTACGCGGGAACCTGCCCGGGGCAGCTCTGCAGGGACCAGGACCCTCCGAGGCCTGAACTGAAATCTTCGCATGGCTGGTTAGCCCGGCCGGTTTGGCTCATGGGGTAGAGTGAGGGTGTGCGGACCCAGGGGTCCCGGGTTGGGTTCCGGTCAAGGGCACGTACGTACCTGGGTTGCAGGCTCCTCTCCGGCCAGGGCCCTGGTCAGGGCGTGCAATCAATGAGTTTCTCTCACATCCATGTATACCCTCAGCTGAGGATTACAGAACTAAATAAACCTTCACATGGTTGGAAATGCCTGTTGCTCTAATATTTTTTAACTTAAAGCCCAGCTTCAAATATATTACTGAGAAACACGGTAGTAATAACAACAGCAAGAACTCTCCTTTGACCCCACCCCCTGAACGCGGGGCCGAGCCCGGAGTTCTGCATCCTCCTGAGGGTCTGGCCCTGCTCCGCGCGGGGCTGGCGGGGAGACCCGCGGGCCCGGGGCGCTGGGGACCCTGAGGTCCCGGGGTGGCCGGGCCTCGGAGACGAGGGGGGACTCAGAGATCCAGGAGCTCCGGCACCCGACCCGGTGGCCCCGCCCGAGCTGGGGGGCCGGGCGCGGGAGCCGCCCTCCGGGACTCCCTCGGGGGCGGGCGGGGCCGCCGTCCCGGTTAAAAGGCGCCGCCGGCCCGCAGGTGCGGCAGAGCCGCCGAGGTCTGCGCTCCCCCCGAGCAGGCGGCCAGGCCGGACCCTCAGGACCGCACGGGACCCCCAGCCCTGCCCGGACCCCCCGAGGCCGCCGCCGCCGACCCCCCGAGGCCCCCGCCGCCGGTGAGCCAGCCCGCGGAGCCCGCAGCGGGCGGCCGGACCGCGTCCCGGACCCGAGCTGCGGTGCCGGCGGGAGGGACGGCGCGGGTTGAGGACCGGGGCCCCGGGGACTGGGGGGCCGGGGGCCGGGGGGTCCCCGGGGCTGTCGCTCTGGGACCGTCACGGAGAAGTGACCCGGACGGCGGGGCAGTGGGCACGGGTCGGTGCCGGGTGGACCCCGCTCGCACCGAGGTCCCTGCTGGGTCTTTGTCGGCGGCCGGGCAGGCGCCCCGCAGCGGGTCTGGCGGCACAGGGTCCGAGGGAATTCGCTGGGAGGGACTGCCCTCGCCGAGTTCCGAAACTGGAATCGGGCCACGGCGGGGAGCGGACGTTGGACACCAGCGCCCGAGTGCCCGGGAGGAGGGGCCCCGCGGGCGCCAACGCGCTTTGGCGATCTAGTTAGTAAGGTTCCTGGGGAAGTCTGTCTGACGCCATGGGGAGTGTTTGTACCGGAGCCTCTGCTTAGAAGGAAGGCCGGCTTCCATTTGTTGAGCAGGATCCTGCCTGGAGGAGGTGATCTTTGCAAACCGGGCGCTCCCATCACCGTCTGCGGAGAGGAGCCAGGACTCTGGGCCCAGCCCTGTGAGCAGGCACCGCAGCCTAAACTTGAGATACGGGTTTCCTTGTTCCTCTTCCCTGAACAATCGGAGCGCCTTCATTTCCAGGTGGCATTTTCTAGCAAGGGGTTGAGAACAATGTTCCTTCAGGCAGTGCCATAAACCCTCTGCTCCTGGAGGAGGAACATAAGCCTCATCAATGTCTCCCCTCCCTGAAGTTGGACGACCATTTAGTTGGGAATCTGTCTCAGATGTGTGGCAACAGACATTTCCCTGCCTGCCCTTTGAACCAAAACTCAGGTGCTAAGTCACAATTAGACACCTGTGAGAAAGGTGGGCCACTCTGTGGCGGCAGATGGCCAGGTCTGTAGTGGGGAAAGGGATTGAGAAGAAATTAGGGTAAAGATTGCTTTTACCTTTTCTCACATTGTTCCTCCCCTAAAGAACAGAAGCTTCTCTGCCAGAGTCCCACGCAGTGGCGGGTGGTGTGGGCCAGGTCAGGAGGGCAGCACCGCAGCTCCCCATGGTTTCACCCTGGGTTAGCCCACTTGACCTGTTACCCCATCCCACTTGTGGGTTACAATTTTATTTGCTCCTTTTCCTGAAAGGATCCACAAACAGGTAGTTGCAGCTATAACAGCGATGAGGACTCACTGTCGTTTTCTCAGCTGACGGTGGTTGGACTGGTTTGTAGAAAAGTGTGAGTCTGTGTTTGGTATTCTGGAAGAGGACAAAGGCATAATGCTCCCCATTTCAGCCAGGTGGACAGCCTATTTCTGTAAGGGTCCTGCTCCCACTTAGTAAATGCCGGTGAAGAACTGGACTGTCTAGTTCCATAAAATAGTTTGATTAAACTATGAATTTTGGTTTTGCTGTTGGACAGGACTAAACTGTCCATCCCTAAGGGGACCGCCAGACAGTCTGTATTTAAAGGGTCAGGACTGAACCACTGTTGTTTTTTTTCTAGTGGTATTTGTCTTTTTTAAGCTAAGTAAGGCTAAATGATTTTGAAGTGCATTTCAAGTTTTGTGTCCATGATGAGGCTCTATGTCTCGCCTGCTTGATCTGACCAAGGTGGCACTGGATGGCTTCAGCCATACCTTGTGACCCACCTGCGATGGGGCTAAGTGATGAGCCTGCTCTCCACGGGGAGACAGGAACCAACTTGCTCAAAATGAGGGGAGCGTTATGCTTTTAAGTAAGAAAAGAGAGCGTTCACTGCCAGCACAGAAGGGGTGGAACAGACGCTCGTCAGGAGTGTGGGGAAGTGGGATCTCGTGAGAAGAGCGCTGATTGAGACAGATTGGCTGTAACGATGAATAAATGAAGAGAAGGCCACTGGCTCATGGCAGGTTGACCCACAGGTTTCAAGTCCCTTTTCATTAAGATGTACACACCCCACCGAGTTTTCTGCACTTCAGTACCCAATCAGTGACATCGCTCTGAAGGGCGTCACTAGGAAATCACTGTCATTTTGCTCATTTATTGTCTTTTTTTTTTTTTCCATAATGTGCCTCTTTAGAAACACGGGTAGCCATCAGTTTCGCATGATGGTGAGGACCACCAGTCCATACTCAAAACATTCACAAACATCTATGCACATAGTGGCTTTTCTCCATGAACAGAAAGTTTCCTGTTCTTTTTCATATAGAAAAAGGAAGTGAGGCCCTTTTGTGAAATTTTAACATATGGTGCCTCAGATGTCAACTTCACCATCCGTAACATATATTTCACTTCTATATCCCAAAACCATGACAATTCATTGAAACCATTTAAGGAAAAGGGCTTTGTAGGGGGACATGGCCTGCCGACCTTTACAGCAGGTTGGTGGGACTAGCCTCAGTTCCAGGAGTGCGGTGAAGCTAACAAGCAAGTGCACAGTTGAAATCTGCTCTTTGAGTGCCCGGGGAGTGCCTGCTGAGGGATCAATCAGCACTAATTATGCCTCTAAGTTAGGAGCCCTTTTTTTTATCATGTGCTAAAGACTGGGTGAATTACTCAGGTGAATAAGTATACACTGCTCTTTATTGGAAAATACATAAACACAGGTTCAAGGTGGTTTGGGAACCATCCTTTTTATCCTATGGCAAATTAAGTTGGTTTGGTTTTCACCTTTTGGGTGAGGGTCAGTAAGAGTTGGTGTTTGCTCAGGAAGAGGCTTAAGGGTGCTTACTTACCCAGAGAATTCTTCCAGATTCTATCCTGGTGAGTCATTCCTCTTTTGTGTTCGTCTTATCTTTTTCAGAGCGAACTGCCCGCAGAAGATGGATTGGGGCACTTTGCAGACTATTCTGGGGGGTGTCAATAAACACTCCACCAGTATTGGAAAAATCTGGCTCACCGTCCTCTTCATTTTTCGAATTATGATCCTGGTTGTAGCTGCAAAGGAAGTGTGGGGAGATGAGCAGGCTGACTTTGTCTGCAACACTCTGCAACCTGGATGCAAAAACGTGTGCTATGATCACTACTTCCCCATCTCTCACATACGGCTCTGGGCCCTCCAGCTGATCTTCGTGTCCACACCAGCTCTCTTGGTGGCCATGCATGTGGCCTACCACAGGCATGAGAAGAAAAGGAAGTTCATTAAGGGAGAGATAAAGAGTGAATATAAAGACATCGAAGAGATCAAAAACCAGAAGGTCCGAATAGAAGGGTCCCTGTGGTGGACCTACACCAGCAGCATCTTTTTCCGGGTCATCTTTGAAGCTGTCTTCATGTACGTCTTCTACATCATGTATGACGGGTTCTCCATGCAGCGTTTGGTGAAATGTAATGCCTGGCCTTGTCCCAATACCGTGGACTGCTTTGTTTCCAGGCCCACAGAAAAGACTGTCTTCACAGTATTCATGATTGCAGTGTCTGGAATTTGCATACTGCTGAATGTCACTGAATTGTGTTATTTGCTAATCAGATATTGTTCTGGAAAGTCAAAAAAACCAGTTTAAAACATTACCCAACTATTAGATAAAAATTAGACAGCAGGAAAAGAATGAGGCAATCAGTGCCTAGTTGTCAAGGCCTAGTCACCAGCATTTCCCAAGGTCAAGATTTTTACCTTAAATGTATCCGATTGAAATTTCTGTAGCTCTCACGTAAAACTCCAAGTGCCTCTATTGGCACACTTCTCTCCTAAACTTAAAACACAAAGACTTGATCCTATGCCTATATTGATTTTTACTCAAATTAGTTCCAATGAAACCCTGTGCTGGTAGGGGATATTTGTGTAATTTCATATTCTGAAGAAAGAATATTGGCATTTGTTTCTATTTCTTTGAGGAAAGGAGAGAAACACCAGGTCCTAAAGAGAATGCTAAGAAGAGTGGGTTGCTCTTCTTATGGTTCTTTTTGCCATTTTCCCATTAATTAAAGGTACACATAGATAACCTTGGTTCTATTATTCACTTTGAAAGTTCTAGTCTCTTACGATGGACAAGGTTACCTAATGCTTCAAACTGTCATTTTTTTTTTTAAGTGAACACTTGAAAATATATTCTTTTGGTCTACAAGATATTCTGAAAACCATTATACTTTCCTCTTATTTCAACGGCTCTGATAATGATATGTAAATGTTGTGTAACTAGATACTATCGTTGCATTTAAAATGTGGCCTCTCAGTTATGAATAATTTGCAGGGCCACTGTATTAACTGTGGTATGTAGTCCACAAAAGCATTACGACCTCTCTCACATGAGATAAACTAGAAGTTCTTAGTGATGGCTTGACAGCCAATGGCCTCATTTCACAACTTTAGGTGTAATTTTGGAGGAGAAATATAGACAATGTATCACCAACTGCCACCAACTACAGCTGGCTCATGACACCCTATCTTTTCAACATTTGCCTTTTCCATGACTTGGTAAAGGGTGGAAACACTGATTTAAAGCAGTTTTTTAGGACTATTTTGTTGCCACAGTTTAAAACAAAATGGGGGTAGGGTAGGGGTAGGGATGGGGGTGGAAGTAAGGGTGGGAGGTTCTATTTTTAAAGAACAGATGAAAAGACTAGACTCTAAATTCTGGTGATTAAAATATGAGTTTCCTCTATTTTAAAAGTTTGCTTGCTTTCCTCTTCAGCTTTCAATTCTTTAAAAGTGAAAATAGAATTAATAGACATTTTAAAAAATAGACACTATGGTTTAGATATATTTAGCAGTTCTCTAGGACGCATTGAACCTTAGTATTATTATCATGATGCTTGACCTGGTTTCCAAAAAATTGTACTCAACATTCTTCAGTGGGGGTAAACATTTTTCTTTTGCCAAGAATAGCATTATAAAAATATTTTTGTAATAATAAATAATAGCTTTAAGTACATGCTTGTAACTAAATAATTTTGTAATATCTCAAATATTTAAAATCTCAAAATATAAATTTGTATACAGTAATAGTTATTTAAAATTTATTAGTTTTTAATATAATAGCACATTTTAATGTCATCTATGGTCAATTTTGTATAAGGAGTTTCATATTTTAATGACACCAAAAAGGTAAGTTTCCAGGTTGTCTGTTCACCATCCTCAGATCTTCTGCCCAGTTACAGAAAGGCTCTGTCACTAGAAAGCTTGCCAGGGAAGGGAGAAAGAAGATGGTTTGTGCCCAACCCCCTGCTGACCACAACAGTTTTTTTACAAACACACTCTGGTGTGCAGATTGGGTTTGCAGCTTGGAGGATGTCAGGCTGGGTTCACATGACCAATGTGGCTCCCAGAATCCTGGGAACTAACACTTCAAAATGATATTCATGCTAAAGGTTGGCTGAGGCATGAGAAAGACTCTATCCGATGTCTTTTCTGCAAGATTGTCTTTCTGTGTGTTTGTATGTAATCAAAGCTAGTTTTAGAAACTCCTTTTTACTTCTTGGTACCCACTTCCATGGGAAATAAAACCAACGCTTCAGCTGTCCCTTTGTGAGTGTCCCTTAGGCAATCTCCCCAAGACAGCAGTGCCAGCCCTGTCCTTAGACTAAGGCCTTCAAGGCATTCTATACAGCAATAATTATAAGTATTTCTACTCATAATTACTGAATAGAAATACTTTTTAAATTAATTTAATAGAACCCGAACCAGCCAGCTTTCATCCAGGTGATGGGAGAGCAGTAAGAAGTAGTCCCTGCCTTCCAAGGAGCTCTGCGCACAGCCTGTTAAAACAACACATGGATTTTAAATAGCTATGTTCACTCTTACAAGCCATGAAGACTATTACTCTCAAGGTCTTAAAGACTGGACCAGATAATTACAGAGGACTTCTGACCACTTTTAAGGACTTAAAAATAGATTTGGCCACAGGCCTAAAAATTAGATCTTGAACTCTGAAAATAGTAATCCTAAATATATATTTCAAATCACTAATTTAAAAAAGAAAAGCTATGCTGTTTGTTTTTTAAGATTCCACCAAAGGACTCTATCAGGTTAGCTGTGTTGAGGCCTCCAGCACAGCTGAGCATTGTAAGTTTAGGACATGGGTACGGCTCCACTGCTAATGCTGTCCTGTACAAGGCATGTTAATAATGGGAACTGTGACCTCAAGCAACTCTTCTGTGCATGTGCAACTGCCAAAAGGTGCATCACAATTGTTGAGTGGATCAGGGACAACTCAGAGGACAAATGTATTCTCCAGGGTGGCCTGGGTCTGAGTTGCCAGTCATTGCTATCACCAGCCTCATGTTCAACTGCAGACCAGCAGGTACTGTGCAAGAGGGCCTACCGTGGGTAGAGCAACTCCCTCATTTCTCCAGATTTCAGATCTCTAAGGTTAATGGCAATCAGGTAAGATAATTTGTGCAAAAACCCTCTACAGAGGAAATTGTTGAGTAAACAATTGCCATCTGTTTTCCATTAGATAGATCCCAAGTTGGAAAGATGTTGGATAGCATTTCAGGTAGGAATGACTCAAACAAAACTTGATATACTGGGAGCTTGAAAAAAAATGCACACTTACATCAAGCCTGAAATAAGTGCAGTGCAGGAGAGAAGACACTAGCCACATAGATGGGAGAAGAATAATTGATTGCCCATGTAACAGCAAAAAAGCTCAGGTGGTGACAGCTATGACACTGAAATTACAGAAAAAATCAACAGAATACTACAGAAAGCTTTGGTTCACCTAGTTAGGGTCTCTAAATACCTTCCATATATGGTACAAAATACTTTTTCTCTCAATCCTCCAGATAGGACTACTCCTTTGGCATGGACCCGGGAAGTGAGCTCAGGCAGAGACCATCATGCTCAAAGGTCAATTGCAAATGTTATCACACAAAGAATGTCAACTGGACTTCTAGAATTTCCCTAGTGCGTTTCTTTCCTGCAGCTTGTAACTGGCACCAAAGGGACTCCCCGTCTTCCCAGTGCTGACGGAGTTAAGGTAGTCTTCCCTATTGTGAGGTGCCTACCCCTCCATTCCTATACAGCTCTAATTACTCATTTACTCAACCAATATCTAATGAGTACAACTGAATGTCAAAGCAAAACTTGGTCTTCATGTTGAAGGAGGTAGACTGTACATGCACAGCCTTAGGTTATATATGCTGCAGATGTGCAATGGAGAAAAACAAACCAGCAGAAGGGAACTAGGATCTGCCAGGGGTGATGGCAATTGCTATTTACTATTGGGTGCTCAGGGAGGGCCATTCTTCCAAAAGACCTGACAGAAACGAGGAAGCAGAATAAATAGTGTCGTAGGGAAAGTTGTCCAGTGAGAGAGGGAAGGGCCATACAGCAGAGTCAAGGGGACAGCGAGAGGAATGAGGCTGAAGAAGGACAGGCAGTGCAGATGGACTCAGGATGGCTGTGTTCAAGTGGCCAGCACTCACTCTGCTTTCTGCTGGGCTCGAGTATGTCTCTTAAAGAGCTGGGAAAAGATCAAGTTCTGGCACAGCATGAATACTAACGTAGTCTGAGCTTGAACTAGCCTTTTAACAGCTTCATCATCTTTCTCATCTTCAATTAAAAGGCCACCAATGTGATTATGTAATGATAGAATTGATATATAAATATTTTATATTTATACAAATATAAATATTATGCTGAAAAGTAAATACAGAAGCATATAAAGTCAAATCTGGAAGTCTCATTTCTTTCCCCTATTTTAAAGTATCAGCATGAACATCCCAGTGTCTATCCTTCCAGTCTTTTCTGTGCCATCACAGCTACTTATATGCACGGTCACACAGAACCATTTTGGTTTGCATTCTTACATAATTCTTTTCTGTGGTAGTTTCTCATTTAATAACATGCCTTGGAGATATTTCCTGGTTGATATGTATAGCTCTAACTTGCTCTTTTTGGAAAATGTACAGTATTCCATAGAATCACTGAGCCATAGCTATGTAACCATCCCTTGTTAGTGAACAGTTACATGGTCTCCAATTTTCAGAGTTCTCTCCTCCCCTTCTCTTCCTATTAAATCAGATTTTCCCTTTGTCCTGCACGTTATATGACATTTTCCAGTCTATTAAGGGCTTTACATTTCCTTGTTGAATCTCATTGCTGATTTGGGCTCATCTATCTGGCTCATTCAGAACTATCTATGCCCTGTATTCAGTCCATTAGCAATTCCTTCCAACTTTATGACATCAGTCAGTTAAAATAGCCTGCTTTCTCTACAGTCATTGAAGCCAATAAAAATATTGACAATAGAATGCCACCAATAATTGTCTTTGAGCTTAACATCCATGCATTTACCAACGTGGCATGAGTTGAAATGCTGAAAATAAACGCACTTTTACACTTCACAAGTTTTCAATATAGACTAGGAGTCCATACTGGAACCCTCTGTGATGGGGAGCTGCTCGCTGCTGCCACCTGCTGTCAGCAAGGGTCACTGCAGGACACTGCTTCCTTCCAGGCCCCTGGGGCTTCCTCAGGATGGCAGGGCCCAGCCAGCACCAGCCTCTTTGGGACCCTCCTGCACCTGCACTGGCATACCCTCCCCTCCACAAAACCTCACCA